ATTGCTGTATCTAGGGTTATCATTCCGAAAGAACAATGGCTAAGTAATTGTTAAAAGAATTCTTTAGCATCTTCAAATGTCATAATTACAAGATTGAATAAAATAAATAATTTGATTTTCCAAGTTACACTAAAGGCCTGTAGCTCAAGTGACTAATTGGTATGCAACCGGACTGATATGTACAGCAGTCAGTTTTTCAGTTTCTTGGGCATATATATAGCTCCACATTCAGTTAGTTTACGTAATATCAAATGTACTGACTCGACCGATTTGCTATAAAGATTAACTACTTTATTACTAAAAATAAAGTAGGTAATTCCTTCGCGAAATATGCCACGCGAGAACGTGGTAAACCTGACAAAAAAGTTCCCGGTATCAGGGATAGATGTCACGTTTCACAAAAAAATAATTTGTGCCGAGTTACCAGTATGTATTAACTCAGTTTTTTTTACCACTATACCATTATATAAAATAATTTCCTCTGAATTTTCGTCACGTTACAAACACAAGGCACCATTCAATTTGTATGAACTCTGTTTAAGAATTCTGTTGTTAATTTTGATATAATAATACATCGAATATATTTTATTAAATGTAGGTAAAACGTAGCCTCTAAAATTTCAAACTGGAATATCTTTAATTCCAGACTTCTCAGAATAGTAAACTGAAAACCAAATGTTTCAGGAATTTAAGCTCTATATTTTCACATATTTTTCATAAACAGACGCATACAAATCATGTAAACAAAAATTTATAACGGACTTCGCCATTGTTCTTTGAATAGGTCGCTTGAAAAGCCTGACATGCAAGAAAATCCGGACTTTTTAGTAACAAAGTAAAATCGAAAACATCTTTCTCTCTTTAAGCAGCAATAGAGCTTCTTGTGAAAGCGTTCGTCTAGTGAAGTGCCTCTAAAATTTTAACTTTACCTATTTCTGCCGCTAAGCAGTATTGTCAGCATTACTGCGTTTCCGTTTTGAAGTGTAAGGATGCTGGTGAAATTACAGGCACACGGGGCTTGTCAACTTATGTCTCAGGGTGACAAGGTGCCACTGCGTGGCAGTGTCTCTCAGGTCTTTGAGATTTAAAACTCTGAGTGGCACTGCAACTGTTATGGATAGGGCGTGTCGCTTACCTACTACAAGGGGCACGATTTGTTCGTCCCGTCTCTTGATATCTTAAAAAAAGACTGGCTCTCTGGCCACAAAATTTTTGGCGTATCGAGTTTCATTACATAATTGCGATGTTGATAGTTTACGTTTTATTCTGAAAATTGTTATCTTCGGCCGAAAAATACAGATAACAAATCCAAACGGATGGTACCCTTAGTTTATCCGGCTACGAAATAAATTACAATATTTTGTTTATTATAGGAACAGCACGGACGTCCTATGATAAGAGATCGTAGAAAACTATATGTGTGTCGTATGTGTATGCATTTTGCAATTACTGTCTATGATCGTTTTGTTTGGGTTTGTGGAAAGAATTTTAGATTCTTTCCACAAACCCAAACAAAACGATCTCTTCGACATAATTGTAGAACATTGTTAATTATTTTAGGGTAACCTTGATTTAAAGTACATGCATTGTAATGTAAGTGCTGTATTGGTTTCTGAAAGAAATATTTTCGGCTGTGTTTTCATGTTCCATAACAATAATACTTCTTTAGAACCAATACCAATGTTTATGTAGCGCATGAGTTACGAGTGTTTAAAACGTTTGTTTCATTTTTATATCAACGTAAGCTAGAAACCAAATATTTCTATAGTAAAGTAAATAATGGTAATGTATGAAAAATAACTAAGTTGTTTATAATAAAAGGTTGTAAGTATAACAAGCATGGAAATTGTTGTTTATTTATTTTGAAAGAAGGAAATGGTTTTTGATATTGTATCATTTTTATTTCTGGCGACCTCGTGATCCAGTTGTTAGGTTACTAGTAGCAATAGGTCCCGGGTTCGATTCTAGGTAGTATCTATTTTGGTACCGAACTTTCCTAATTTCGTTTTGGTCTAGGTGTTCTGAGTAATGCCTCAGAGTGCAGGAAATTCCCTAGTTTTGTCCAAATCATTTGTGTGGTATTCTTGTTCCTTATTAAGTATATTATTTTAGTTGTGCTAGTAAATTCATCTCAAAAAGAAGTGATAAATCATAAAAACATCTAAATTTCAAAATATAGACTTAAGGTCCTTTACCTCTCACCTACATAAACGTGTGTAAATGCCAAATGTGGTAATTACCCGTCCTAGTAATTATGGCAAACAAATGAATAGAATAAGTAAATGAATGTGACCCTCTTTATTTTGTAGACATTAACGTCCGATATTGCACTATTATAGAAATGATATATTTTCCTAGTTTGAGCCCAGGCATATGGTGTGTTAGTCTAGCACATTCTTATTAGATTAGCGACTTCTCTTCTTCGTAAAATAGGTCTAAATTAGTAGTGTCATTAGATTAAGTCGAAATTGATAATTTGAATAAGGCAATCCTGTACATAATCTATGGGATAATGTTATTTGATCCTCAAAGATATAATTTACTACGCTTTCATTACAAGATATTCTATAGTTGCACCCCTCCTTTCCAACTCTTAAATTTCTATCCCAATGTTGCCTGGAAGAAATTGCTACTTAGCAATAAGACCGCTTGTTATACATTAGCTTACTCTGTGATACTTACATTACTGTTGTGTGTTGTCATCGTAATTTTAATGTGCAATAAAGAATATTTCATTCAATGAGTTGACACACACACACAGACACACACACACACATATATATATAAATAAATTGTTCCGTCTATATTAGTTGATCTACGGATAAATTATAAATGAACAGCATCAAGGTAACACTATTGTTATGTTTAAGCAAATTAAATAAATATTTGGTATTCAAAAATAATATTTGAATCTCTTTTTTTATTATTGCTACTTTTAACTTTTTTTATTGATGTCATTTATACTCAGTATATCTTTTGATATCGATATCCTAATAAATCTTGGTTGTTTGGTTGCGCTCTCCATTCAGTAGGTTAGGCTAGTATGTGAAAATGTAATACGAGCAAGGCAGAAGCCAAGCCGGCGAGTGCCTGAAGTAAATTTCCTTGCGTTTCCGAACATGTTTTCATGTCAAATTATATTATAATTAATATAATATTAGTATGTAAACATAATCAACATTTACTTTTAATGCTCATTTGTCTTAGTGTTGAGGTCCAACATAAAACTATCAAAGTTAATTTATACAAATCAAACATTTTTTTGCGTAGCTCAAAACAGATTAAAATATCCATTGATTTAATTTATTTATATCTTAGAGAAAGAATCAATCAATAAAAAAGATGAGCGTTTAGATCTTTTTGCCTGCTGCTGTTACAAATTGATCATTTAAATATCTTGGCGTGGCGGCCGACCGCAAATAAAATAATATAATTTAAAAAATGACTATATCTACATGCCTTAAGCTATTACAAAAACCAAGTACGCTGATGTGTTGCGACATGCTGTACCAAATTATTGAGAAAACTCGATTTTTGATAGATTTAACTACTGAAACAGACCCTATTTTATGACTGGTACAGTATAAATTATTGTGGCATTTCTCGGTATTTTTAAGCATTTAAAAACACGATGTATATGGTGCGAAGATACGACTTTATTCTCTGCGTTAGCATGAAACACTGCATATATGAAGATAAAGTGAATTGTCACAACAAGGCAGTGCGGGCGTAGGATGAAAAATGTTAGACCTACATTTTCTGCGTATCAACTTAGAATTGTGAATTTGACTTGTATTCGTTTATTATAAAATATACGTACGCCATTGACTTACAAATAAATGGACGACGGGTCTAATACAAAAACCACGAAAAAAAATGTCCCAAGCCAACCTATTTAAACGCAGTGACATGTAAAGGAATATGAAAAAGCTAAAACGTTTAATTTAAATTGTAATGTCATCGCAGTACTGTCTAATTTTGCTTGCTTCGCTGTCAGTCGAACAAACGAAGACTAAAGCGTGAATGACGCTCTGTATACGATTTTAACGCCCTATAAGTTCGGACACTTTTTAGCGCGGACCCGACGTCCATATAATTGTAAGTCATTGACGTACGCGCTTATTTTTTAACAACCCAAAACACATGAATACACAATGACTATTATTAAAACTTTTTTTTTCTACGACAATACTTATTCGACTTCCCGTACAAACCGCCTCTAATTTTTAGAAACGTCGTGTTAACTGGTTTCTAGTGATTTTAAATTAACACTTGTGTCCTTAATTAACCTTAGACCTATTTCTGATTTAGTCTGAGTAGATGTAATTTATTATTATTGATGCAAAGATCGAACAATACAGAAAAATTCTTCGACCTGACTATGAACCAGCATCTGTTGCCACACCGGGGCCACCGTCTTACCAACTGAGCTCGAGTCAGCATTTTATAAATTCCTCTCGAAGTATGTGCTTATTGCAGATTTTTTTATTGGGTTTAAATGTTATTTATTCAGGTTTAAACTGTTGTATCTAATCTAAAAGTATATACATTTCTGTTCTTTTATGATAGTTCAACTTCCGTGAGTCTCTCTCTCTCTCTCTCTCTCTCTCTGACTCTCTGTCTATCTGTGTCTCTCTGTCTCTCTGTCTCTCTCTCTCTGTCTCTCTGTCTCTCTGTCTCTCTCTCTCTGTCTCTCTCTCTGTCTCTCTCTCTCTGTCTCTCTCTCTCTGTCTCTCTCTCTCTCCCTCT